AGATTAGTTAAAACACCTACTGTATGCAGTACACCATCCTGAGAAAATGAGAGATCCAAAGATAAATAAAACTTGAAGATCTGTCTGAGAGTTGGACGGTGGTTCAATATTAATAGAAATTTAGTTACATTGATAAACACCAAATGCTTATTTAACTAATAATTAAGAGGCAAGTATAATAGGGAAAAAATTGAAGTGCAGATAATTACATGGAGAGAATTTCTACTTAGGTAGATTTGGAATTTCTTAGAAATAAAGTTACTGAAACTCTTGGCTTGAAAAACAATCATGTACTAAGAAGGAATTATAGTTTTAATTTTGTTTAGTTTACAGAAAAGCGAAGAGAACTGAAGTTTGATGGTCGTTTAGATAAAGAACTTTCAGAATCTTACGCATTTCTGATGGTTGATCGATACCAGGTTAGTGAACCTGTTTTATAAAAAACAATTGGAGGATGTTTCCATTGTAAGTTACTAATTTTTCAGTTCAATAATATACTTGGTAATTACAAACTAACATTTTCACAATGTATAAGGGAGCAAACGATTTTGTAGGGATAGATATTTCATTATTTTGTCATTTATTTTTCAGATGTGCATTTTTTCCCTGACCAAACCTTTTTTCCCCCTACAATGTGCTTGATGGTAATTTTCCCTTCATTATAATAGATTATCTTGTATATTGTTGATTATATGTGCCAGGAATTGTTTTTCTCCTTTAATTGAAGATGTTTAGGTGGAGTTTCTTTCTCCTTAAATATTTTGCCAGTCTAATTCTGTCTAAAAGGAGATGTTTGTATATATGAGTGGCATTAATTTTGAGTATCTGTCACACACATCAGTGTAAATGAAAATGGATTCCAGGTATGGTTACATTAGAAGGGTAAGCCAGTTTCACATTGATACTTAGTCATAAATTGGCATGTATGTAAAACTTCTGTAATGTAGAACATAGTTTAGGCTTTAAGCAAATTTACAGATTACTTATTCATGTTTTTAATGTATTGTAATACAAGATGAAGTGTTTTGTTTATTTAGGTTCAAAGCATATGTGAAAAAGGATTACAAGTGGGCCAGTCCAAAATAACAATTCTTGGCAGTCCTTCCATGGGTAATTTTTTTTCTTTTTTCATTTATGTACTATTTAGTTGACATTTA